AGTATTTTGAATATTGTTATAAAGAAACAGGTAACACAAAACTGTTATACTACTGTTCATGTTAAAGTGACAAGTGCATATGAAGTACTATGGTTATGAATTTCATTTTTAAAGTGGAGCAGTGGAGCTAGGAAAAACAATTACTAAATCAGTAGTAATTATAGATAAAGTCGAAGGTTCTTTACTTCCATTAAAAGTTGGGAAAATTGTTGTTAGTGGTCTGTATGATAAATAAAAAATCAGTATGAATTGTAAATGATTATATTTACCCCATCTTTCTTATCTCGTAAGAAGGCACTATTGAGGTATTCCAAAGAAACATCATCATTCTCATTTAACCACTGCATCACAAATGGTTCAAACCACCTACACAGATGAGGAAAAAAGTATATTATCAAATGTGGTAGCTTTAGTAGCAATGCCAATAAAATATAAAACTACCTTTAGCTGTAGAACTGAAGTTTCAGAAGAAATGCTAACATACTAGAGTATTTTGGAAACAAAGTTGTCTTTTTTAGCAACAATACAGTCAAGGCTTATTTAGAGCTGGGAAATTTAAATGATTACCTATGAGCAATGATTACATTAATCAGTGTCACATAAACTAATCGATCAACAAAAATTATAATTAAATTGATTAATCTAAATTATTATAAAAGATGTAGTTTCAATATAAAATTTATAAATAAAGAATTTTTAGAACAATATTTGTATCTTTACTACATTTATTAACAAGGTTTTAGTGACAGCACTGCTACAGTAATGAAGTGCTCAGAAACGTTCTAATTTTGACTACGACATTATGAAGGCTAGTACTTTTAGTACAGAAGCACTTATAACTTTATGAAGTAGCATATTTAGAGTAACTGTTTTTTCTAAGCAAGTTGTATATATAATTTAACAATCATACTAATACATTAAAGTACGTTTAGCATTCATGTTGTAGTTAACACAGGATCAATGAAAAAGTTAATTATACTTGTAAGAAACGTGTAATCTGCAGAAGTTGTAGAAAAACATAGTTTTATACAGCTCTAATTGTAACAATGAATGATACTTGAAAATAAAAGCTATTGTTTTCATAGCATCAACAGTAATCAATGCATATGTTAATTAAAAACATGAAGTTTTATCATTAATAGTTTGGTCATACATGTTCTATTAATCCTATAATTAATTCACTTTTAACCAAACAGAGGTATTTTACCAGGTAATACTTACGATGGGTACTCAGGCACAGTGTCTTTGTATGTGGGAATGTCTTTGACATAGTTGTTGTAGAACCATTTCACCTTAAAATGAAGATTCATATATGCTGAACTCTTACACATTCTATGCTGCTCATGTTCTGTGAAAGAGAATGTTTAGTGGCATCGTTAGAAGTACTGTAAAAAAACACTTGATAAGCATCGTTAGAAGTACTGTAAAAAACACTTGATAACTATAGTAGTGTACATACAAACTCTTTTAAAGTACTGTAAAAAACACTTGATAACTATAGTATTGTACATACAAACTCTTTTAAAGTACTGTAAAAAACACTTGATAACTATAGTATTGTACATACAAACTCTTTTAAAGTACTGTAAAAAAACACTTGATAACTATAGTATTGTACATACAAACTCTTTTAAAGTACTGTAAAAAACACTTGATAACTATAGTATTGTACATACAAACTCTTTTAAGAAAAGTTTAACTTGACAATAAAAACACAAGTACGTAAAAGCAAATAAGGCTGTAGGTATTTTTTGTGGCTCTTTAAGTGGATCTCAAAGTTATAGCCTGACAATAATTACAACATAGTGGGTAGAAATTTGAGTTAACAAAATAAATAAGAAATTGGTAATTTAAAAACCTGCAAATAGGGATCAAAAAACAAGTAAGCCTATCTTCTTATGGCATCCGGTTTACTACAGATTTCCTGATGACACACTGTTTACTAGAGATCTCCTTATGGAACATGGTTTACTATAGATCTCCTTATGGAACATGGTTTCCTATAGATCTTCTTATGACACCTGGTTTGTTACAAATCTCCTGATGGCTCATGGTTTATTACAGATTTCCTAATCTCATGTGGCTTATTACAGAACTTTTGGTGGCTCGGGATTTGTTTTAGAATATCTGATCATACGTATTTTATTATACAACTTATGATTTATTACAAAACTTCTGATGGCACAACGTGACTTATGAGGATAACTCCAGATGTCATGTCATTTATTACAGAGTGTTTCTTACAGTAACCTCTGGTATAATAAAACAAAATTATCTTCTAGCCCACCATATTTCAGATAATTTAGTTCTGATATTGTGGTTTCTCTGTTGTAACATATTTTACTCATACTTTTATGTGTGTGAAAAAAAAAGATACAGGATCAACACACATAAACGTGTGAATTCACACTCTTTGTTATAAAAAGTGAAATTCATACCCACAATTAATTTGTAATATTATTAAGAAGCCATATTTCATGCGAGTAAGCTTGATTGTTAATGTGTACGTTTTGAAAAGTTATTTTCTAAAAAAAGTTATATTTTCATAAAAGTTTATAATAATCAAAATATTAACTTAATGTAAGTGATTCTGTTAACAATTGTTTTTCTTAATTTTCACACAGAACTTACATGAATTTCCACACTATTTATATATGTACACCTTTTCATACTAGCAGGATTAGCAATTGTTTTACGTTCTACATTTACACCTTTAATGGTGTGAATTTACATCTTTTCAACAGGAAAGGTGTGTTTGTTGGTATCAGAAAAAATCACACGTTCCCCCCCCCCCCTTAGAGTGAAAGTTTCAGCGATAGTTCAATCAGTTATTTCACGTCATGCACCTTAACTGAGAAGAGTTGATTCGTTAATTAGGGACTTCGTCTCACCGTAAAAGAAGGGAACGAGAACTGAAGTTATATATATATATATATATATACATGTATAATCAACAATAATTGCTTCATTCCTCGCCCCTTTCACACCGTTAACTTACTTTTCTTTGATTTCTGCTACGAAATATGATAGCATTTGAACAAAGGTCTTAATAGATTGTGGCATAAACATTATACTGTTAAGTACTTTGTGAAACGTCTCTATCACAGAAGGAAGACTTTTTGAAAGCATTGTAATTTTCACATTAATTACAAGACTAAAGAAGGCAGTAAAATTGTTTTTGGTAGATAACTTACATTTAATTATCTTTTATTATATAAATTTATACAAGAGTATTTTTCCACCACGTCACTAAATCGTATTACAGTCAGTGTGATGTGTCACTGTAACGTAAAATATTTGTCATACATAAGTGTATTATTACAATATTCATAATTAAGCCGTACAATGTCTGGTTTTTGAATGGCTACAATACAAGTTCAAGATGAAAACAGCACAGTCATTACGGGCTAACAAAACAGAACACTAATGTGTTAGCTGACACAATATTTGTGTTGAAGTTTGTGCAACCTATATATATACAATACGACTTCACAATATAACAATATATTTTAATACAACACAATATTCTGAAAACCACATGTCATTTCAATTATTATAACACATACACAATATTTGCGTTCATATAGCTACAACAAACAGTTGTGTTATAGTTTACACAAGTTTGTGTTTGGGAAACGCAATCTGTGTTATTTTGAAATTGCATAATGTTCATATTAATTTAGAACCAAACTTTTTTTGGTTGTATTTTACGAATGTTGAGATGTAAGAATTCCTAACCAGAAATATGTTTACATATAAATGCTAAGCTTTGGCAGTACAAAAGTCAAATAAGCTCAAATTTATATTTATTATACAAAGTATATATTATTATAAATAAGAATATCTTCCCTTACTTCTCAGCTGTTAAGTATCAACATGTATGTTTTGTCATTTTTACGTTTCTTTCGACTAAATGCACAATTGTGCTGATAGAATACAAACTATAATCCTTCCAATAATTTCTACTGAAGAGTACAAAAGAACTGATAAGTAATATTAGATTTATCTATTATTCAAGTATGTATTTGAACATGATTTAGTTGAAATAAATAGAGGAACTTTACCGCTCATTCACCGAGGGACACATATATATATAGTCAATATTCAACTACGCGTAACTACACATAACTATTACTTTTGTTTAATTATTCATGTACACATTTACGTCAAAAAATAAATAAATTTAGCAATTAAAACTTTGGTATTATTGAATGATATTTCCATAATATATGTAAGGGAGCAAAGCAGAAGAATAACGCGCTAACTTTAACAGCTATAAATTTCTAGAAATATTTATTATGGAGAAATGGATTTGTTTGAAATAAAAAAGTTGTTTTCTTTATTGAGTCACTTATTCGTACTTTACTGCAAGAGGGCATGTACACATTGTGTTACAATGAAACTAATTTACTGAAACAGAAATTGCATCATTATAAAATACTTATGGATAAAAATAGGCATAACGAGTTTAAAAGTTGTTTTTTTTAAATGTTTTAAAATATTTAACTGTTTCAAGTATTGATTCATTCTTATAAACGTAATGAGAATAAATAAATGTAAAGAAATAATCGCACACATTAATGGTGTGAAGATGTAGGAAAGTTACAGTTACATGCAACATTGTTCACTGTCGTGTCACCATTATGACTTATATGTATTTATCGTAGTTCAATGTAATCATGCATTCATACTGACTTCCAGTATCATTGAATACATTATCCGCTGTAGCCTTACTTAGATATAGTTTCGGTATTGATGCATGATAAAAACTAATCTGAAACTTTTGTAATAATGACTAATCCACTTCCATGTAAAAAAATAAAATAAAACATTATTAAATAAATCTCATTTTCTTTGCTTGAACAAACTCCGTACGAAATGTGAAAAAAAAGTTAAAATTAAATTTTTGAATAATCTCCAAAACTCTTTAAATAAATAACTGATGAAAGAGTCTTAACAATGTAAAAACCTCAGCCACCAACGACATATAAAAACCTCACCTTAAACAACCGTAGAATATTTGCAACCATCACCGACACAGAACTAGAAGCTGCTCCTATGACCCCAACAACAGGCTTCTGAGGGTTCCACAGGGGCTTGCGCCCGTCTTCACACCGGTACTGAGAATCGTCCAAGGGGGTCAAAGATGCCTTTACGAACTCCATACTTTGCTCCAGTGCGTGAGTATCGAGGGAACAGGTGTCCAAAATGAATGTTCCTAGGGTAATATTAGGTAATAGATGTGCATCTCGGTTGATATTGTCTAAAGCGTAAAGCATGGCTTCTAACCTTTGAATACCCTTCTCTTCCTTGATGGATCCACATGGTCTATTATTTCCTCCTAATGCCTCGTGCATGGGGAATAATCCCCCTAACACCAGGTCACCGTCCAGTCTTAGTTGAGTTGTTCGAAACTCGCAGGTGACCGTGGTACGTTGACAAAATGTGATTAGAAGTAAAATATCTAATTTGTAAGAATTCATAGTTATTTGTAATTCAGTTTATGGCTTGCTTAGTAGTTTTATGTTTTGTTTTGTTTTCAGAATTCAGATTTAACATTACTGGAACGCTTTGATATTTCGAAAAATGAGTCTCAAAACGTCACATTAAAAGACGAATACATTCTTAAACATACTGCGTTAGTTCAGCATAAGAATTCGTTAAATTTAATGTATCTTTGATCGAGAAATTGTATATTACATAACAGTATCACCCTGTCTCTATTCTGTGCTCAAGCAAAAAGGTGTTCGCTTTGCAGTCTGGAAGGCGTATTCCGATAGCATACAACCTCCTTACACGGTAACGGCCGCGCAAACTCCGTGTGACGTGCGTGCTTAAAGGAAAATTGTTACTTCCGACTTCGTACTGGCATCACTAAGAAAATGATTAATTACAAAAATTGAAATACAGAAGCTAGTAAGTCACTCATGCTAGTCTGATTAGCTTGTTGTACTTTCAACGACTGCGTCCGTTTGCTATGTTTATTTAAACACAAACACAACGAGATGCTCGGCATTTAATTAAATTCGCACTACGCTCAATCTACATTGATTTTTGGTTTGTTTGGAATTAAGCACAAAGCTACACAATGGGCTATCTGTGCTCTGCCCACCACAGATATCGAAGCCCGGTTTCTAGCGTTGTAAGTCCGCAGACATGCCGCTGTGCCACTGGGGAAGGGGGGGCTTGCTTTTTGGACTTCTAGGTAAATCTTTAGTTATAAATGACGTTGACCAAACTGTTTACATGTGTTTAGAAAAAGGAGTATTGAACATGTGTTACATACTACTACATGTGTTACATACTACTACATGTGTTACATGCTACTACATGTGTAACATACTACTAGACCAACAGAGGTATTGAAGCAGAGACTCGACAGCAATTTCTACACATTCAGAAATAAAATGCTAAGAAAATTGTTAGTATAACCTGCGACCCCCCCCCCGTATTTTCCAGATTAACTTGTTGACATAATCCGGAATAATAAGTAAGTAAGGAACTATTTCTCGTATTAATAGGTTCTTGTCATGGTTTGAGCATGCGCTAGTGTTTACTTGGCTATACGACGTGTAAGTGTTTAACCAGAGTTTTTACTTGGGTGTAAGAAAAATTACTTAATTCGACTTGTCTTCAATATATTCTCAGCATATTCTACTGTAAATTATGTTAGGTATGCACATGTTATCACGTGACCATATACAGTCAATAAGGGAGAAAATGTTGAGCAATCTCGTAAACGCTTTTAGTGAAATTTTTTGGGTCAAGGTGTATTAAAGGTAAATATTTGAAAAACAAAAATTATATCTACATGTTGATTACTACGAAATATTAAGAGGTGTTACGTAATTTATCCTCCTCCTGAATAAATGTTAAATGTTTTTATAATTGGGAGGGCATAATATACGTAAAACTCTTGAAATTGGAATTTTTAACTGGAACAGTACTTTATTCTTATGTGAGTTAAACGGTTACATCAGAGAGCACCCTCAGGGTTTAGATATATAATCCCTAGTTTTGAAATATTGACTAAAAAGAAGGCAACCAGTCAGCAGCATCCTTTCCTTTCTTTGAAGCGAATAATGACAGCCGAAGGTGCTGAAGGTGTATCGACGATGCTTGGGCAGTTCGATCCGCAGCCCGACACACTAACTATAAGGGTCCACTGGGCTAAGAATTTGATCTATAAACTCTCTTCAGTGACACTCATACCCATTATTTCGCCCATTCTATCTCTCTCTCTCTCCGTATATATTATATAATATTTTTGAATTAGTGAGAATGATTTCTCCTTCCCAAACCTTTTATACGCGCCGTCCCCCGAATTTTTCATAGAATATAATTAAAATTTTTGATTTGCAAAATATTTAAAAAGCTCACCAGGCGTAAAACGTATGTAAAATTTTTCCAGACGAAAATAATGTAAGATACATCACAGGAGAAGTACACACATTAGTCATATATGTGAAGTTGATATCTTGGTAAAACATGAGATAAAAATTTTCCAACGGTAAAGAATATAAAAATGTTCCATTTGTCGAAACATAGAAAATATACGCTCAACGTGTGTAGCTCAAATATATATATTTTCGACCAAATACCTGATTAAAAAGCAAATTTTATAACATTTAATACTGCGATCAATGACTAAAAACTGACCTATTAGTAAAAAGTGAAACTAACATCTGCCTTTGGAACATCGAGATAAAATTTCACGAATTTAGTCAGCTAAGCTGTTTTAATGAAAAGGTGTTCTCTCTCTGTTCTTATTTCCTCGCGAGTGGAGAGGCATGCTTCCTGTATGTATCTGAATATATTGTACTTGACTTTCAGAGTACTATTTAAACATAAGAAGGATTATGAATGTTGGTTATTTTAGTTTACTTATTTACCGCCACAGGGGTAAGGCAGATATATAACTGTATCTCAAGTGTACTCGTGTGGGGTGACATCTAAGTATATGTCAATTTCTCTGAAATTCCTCCAGCCATTTCCAGACACGTTATTACACACACAAGATCGAGGAGAGTAAGTCTGAATCGACGCAAAGGCACAGAAAGCAATAAAACGATTTTCTCGCTGCTGCGGGTAGATAACTTAAATATTACGCATTTCAGTACTCTGAACCTAAGCCACAACAGGACATGATAACCATTTCTTGTTAATATTTATCTTTTCAGTATTGCTACTAGATCGATACTTATTGATCATGCCAGACTTATGTAGCTATGATCACACACGAAACTATGTGCATTACGAAATTTTAAGCAGGGTCATTATAATGAAAATCTCATATTTGAAAATAATTATATATCTTAAAAATCTACTTGTCATACGGAACTTAACTTTATAGAGACACATTTAGTTTTATTCAGGAAAGTTTAGACATGATACGGAGTGTTTCAAAAACTGTAACAGAAGGTGTTCAATATATTTTCATAATTCTCAATCAGAGTATTAAGCCTCTCCTTAAACGAAGTTACTGCGAGCACCATCTGGTTTTGACAGTGCTCGCTCATCCTCGCAATATCCTGCATACTGACAGGCATTGTATTCTCATCACACAAGTCTCGTATTGCTGACAGAGAGAAAGCAGAGGAATATAAGCAATGATAGTTTCTGTGAGATAAAATTTAAAATGTGCCCCTGATAAACTTGTATTTCCATAGTATGAATAGTTTTTTAAAATACAATAATTTTAAATAGAAGTTTTCTGTATATCACTCTGTATTTTAGACAGTAACTACATTACAAAAGTTTCAATTTTGTAATATGCATGACAAAAGTAAGCTACATGATAACCAAAAACGAGTTCAAAGAAGCAGAGACTCAGATTTAATACAAGCTGTATCATTATTATGAAAACGCTGTATAATTAATTTTAGATACTATAACTATTACAAATGCTACGTGAAAATTTGTTTATGCAAAGCCATTGTAATTTATTTTCTATTTTATCTATTCAGTAGCATAGCATACTTAAATATGCACATCAGAATAGATACAGTGATTTTAATTTGGTCATAAAAATGTCTTAGTACCCAACAAAAGATACCATCTTAATGAATACACGAGTCACACAGTCTTAAATTCTACTTGTAAAATAGTAGTCCGCAAGACGTGGAAGCCCGTCTTAGTACAAGAAGTAAGTGTTGTGTTTTTGAAACACATGTCCATGAAAGAAAAACTGTATTTGTTTGAAGTTAAGCACAAAGCAACACAATGAGCCATCTGTGCTCTGCCCACCACGGGTATCGAAACCCGGATTCTAGCGTTGTAAATCTGCAGATATATCGCTGTGCCACTGGGGGAAAAGAAAAACTGTTTGATTTAACAACGACGTTTTGAGCAACTGCTTTTTGTTATATAGTTTTATGGTGTTTTCTCTGAAATATTTGACCGAAAGAAAAAACTAGATACCTTGTATTACTTAAACTTGATATTTAAAGTAATTGTTAGTATGAAATATATCCTTAATAGTACTAAAACAAATTTTATCTGTAAAATTCTACTTGCAAATTATGCAAAATCCTGCATTATTAACAGCTGCTGAAGTCTGAAGCATAGAGCATCCACGTTTTATATTAAATGTAATCAAACCGAAAGTTCCGAACTGAAGAAGTCATTTGAAGCTTCAGTGGCCAATATCATTTATCATGCTTCGGGAAGATAGAATAAGTCTAAACGGACAGAAGAGTGGACGTCTCTAATTGACAGTTTTTAATAAAAAATTCATAGTAAATTACCTTTTTCACAAAAAAATTGAAGTTCTATATTACACACTTATAGTTACTTACTGTTTGTTCAGAAGTCATTAATAGTACATGTGAGTGTGTGTATGAATACATATTGAATATTTCCTGCATATCGTGACCGGTAATTCTCTTTAATTAATAATGTACTGAAAGCATCAAAACTTGGACACGTGAGCATTCGGAATGCCCAATAGATCTCTGTTATTGCCTCCCAGGGGTACAACGGCAGATGTGAAGGCTTATAACGTTAAAACCGGGTTTCGATACACCACAGATCGTCTATCGTGTAGTTTTGTATTTAATTACAAAACAAACTTATGTTATACATCGTTATATCCAGGTTTCGTTTTCGTCATAATGTCATCGTATCAGTTTTGATATCATAAAGATGCATGTATTGAACAACAGGCTGTCCTTTAAAAGGGGTTCAGTCATAGCGCGGGCTGGAATCATCGCGCACTTAGCTGTATAAATCTGTACCTCATCCAAAAAATGTAACATGCGTTTAGAAATGATTCAATTAAAAATGCGGCCTGAAATAACAAAGCACTTGGCTATGTAAATTTGTACCTCATCCGAAAATCAGACTGCATTTAGAAATTATTGAACCATACGTGGGCTGGAATCTTCGCACACTTCTTGGCTATACACATCTGTACTGAGTCTATAAATGGTTCAGTCATAGTGTGAGCTGGAATCATAGTGCACTTGGTTTTGCTCAAATCTGT